TTTTATTTTATTTTATTTTATTTTATTTTATTTTATTTTATTAGCTTATATTTATTTACTTATTTTAATTCTTTTCATTTGATTTGTTTATTTTTTATTTTTATTTTGATTCGGTATGTTGCACATCATACATGTTTCTGCTCCACTGAGGTATTCTCTAAAATATCCAAACGATTTTTAAGCATTCAGGTATGCAAATATGTGTAGATCTGTTCATCTGTGCATACAAATATATATGTAGATACGTCACTATTTATATTTGCAAATATTTTATTTCCAAATAGGCAACAAAAATATATCTTTAAACATTCCCTGCAAGAAAGGTGTAGTTTAGATCAAAGGAAGGTACGAATAGTGTCTTCATGAATTAAATGTGAGATTAAGTAGATATTGAATAAACTGTTTTTAATGAGCTTTTGTTCAAAAATGACGGTAATGGAAAAAAGTTTGTCTGTATGTTACTGTAATTGTGTTTTTTTTTATAATTTTTTCGTTGCTTTTGTTGATGTCTTTTTTACTGTAATGTCTGTTATTATTGTTAGTCCACTCTCATAAATATTTATAACTAATATATAACTAATATATGTTCGATGTACTCTATACATTTTAGTGCGCGTGAGTATACGATTTTCTTATCTTATCATAATTTTTTTCATACATACATACATATTTACTTGTGACAATGAGAAAAAGTTGTAGAGTCTATTTGATATTCGAACAATATTGTATAAAATATCGCACTATGAAACAGATTTCTATATTAAAAACCGATTGTAGACACAAATGCTGGGGGCTCTTGGGTCAAGGAAGAGTGAGCTACCATTGTAAGTGAAAGAGTTTAATAAATATAATTTAATATTTTAAATCTTAAAATAGCAAAAGTGATTTTTTTTAGTGGATGGTAACGCCAAGAAAAATATACAATTTTTACTTTTTTATAATTAAATTAATATTTTTACTATGCCAGGGTCATCTTTTATTAGCGCAGAAAACAAAAAAAAAATTAAGAAAAAAATGTGATAATATTATTAGCAATCTCATGCAAAACAGGAATACAGTTGTTTATATATTAATATTAATATTATATATACATATATGGTGAATTAAAATTTAGTTTTGATAATTTTTCATAGCAATCCAATAACAGATATCTGCCAAGATACGAGAAATTTCGCTTAATTTTGGTCTAAATATTCGAATCAACACAATTACATCGCTCTCTTAAAAAAAAAAACACCGTAAATGTGTACGTTCACATTTCTATTACGAAAATCTTTTTGCACTCAATTAAATTCCACAAAGACATTTTTTGTGAGTTATTTTGTTTGTACATATGTATGTATATATGTTTAGTATGCACATTTGACGCCCACCGAGTATTGGTTGTTGTTTGGAAAAAAAATCATATAATAAATATATATATATATATATACGCGTATGTAAAAAAGACTTTCCAAGAATTTTCTTATCACTTTACGTAGAATGAAATACATGAAGAGCATATGCAAGGAAAATACGAGCTTTTTATCGTTATTCTACAAAACAACTTAAGAACGATAGGGTAAATGGCGCAGTTTCTCATTTATAGATACACACACACACACACACTTACGCGTGCCCGCCACGCCACGTCGTCTTATCTTAGAATAATACAAACATTTCTGTTAATTATTATTGCACTCATTCGATAGTATACAACAAAATATTGTTAGTTATACTAATGAATTGATAAAATAAAGAAAAACATTGAAAATAATTAAAATTAAATTCATTAATAATAATTAAATTAATTTTTACGGAAATATTATTGGTATTTTTCGCTTAAATTATTTATGCTACACAATTACTCACCGATTGACGCCTCATGATCGGACATATCAGATAAACTGCATATGGGCGGTGGTAGATCTTTGGTGCCATCATCAGGCTCTTCTTTGATACGAATATTTGTCTGAAAATTAAGAAATTGTTCAATTTATTAAAAAGACGAAATCAGTTGTTAAAAATCGATGTTATCTTCCTTCTCATAAGGGAGGTTCCCTCATTTAATTGAGACCCTTACTGTTATTCTCCTTTTTATGAGTATGTTTGTACTTTTTTCGGATTTTCGTTCGAAATTAAAAATCAAGAATACACAGGGTAACTCTAAAAATATTCTGTTTTAATTTCAAATTTATATTTTTTTTGGAGTTTCTAGAATTACTGCTTCTTTACATACAGAACTCACTTCTTGAACTTCCTCTTTTCTGATCGATATATTTAATTGGTTAGTTAGTTAGATAAAGTTCTTGAAGATCATTTTATTCAAGTTTACTGAAGATCTAAAAGTGCATGCATATTTAAATGTATTTCCCCAACAAATATTTCTTAAAACAGCGAAAAAAATATATAATCTAATGAGTGCAAAAAAATAAAATTCGAAATTTCAAAATAAAAAAAAAGGAAAGTGGACAAAAAGGTTTAAAGTTTTCTAAACTAAACAGAGTCAGGAGAGCTTGTCATATGAATTTGGCATCTCCGGTGTAAGCTAACTCTGAACAATATTAGAAACTCCACCAAAATTAGTTGAATACCTAATAAAGGTTAAGACTAAGTGATCATAGGTATTTATCTCTTATTTCTACGAATATTTGCGTAAAAGACAAATATCGCAGATGAAGGAACGATAAGACATAACTCTCTCTCTCTAAATGGTTCGACAATGGCTAAAGATAAGTATCGTGAGTAAAAGTGGTTATTATAGACTCAGAGTTGATGGGCTTGACATTTTCGGCAGTAAACCCCTAATTAATATCGTATATTTTAGTAGTTTATCGATCAAATTTTAAGATATAATTTGTATTAAATTGTCGAATAGATTAAAAGAAATTCTCAAATGTCTCCAAACAGATACCCGTACACTCCGTACTTTAAGCAGACTTTTCTTGAACTCTCTTTTTGCCAAGTCGGTTGTTGAAAACTTTGCTCGATGAGAAATGTCAGTAAGAATTAAATAGTAACGAAATGTCAAATTTTAACCAAAATCTCATATTCGGTTTTTAGTGTATTATATGCAATGGTCTAACCACAACACTTGTGGGGTAAGATGCAAACTGAGCACTGAATAGGGAAACATGACGCATCTGCAGATAAAAATATAAAAAGCTCAAAATGAGTGAGTATGAAGGGCTTGAGGTGTTGGCCAACAACGGTAAAAATCTATGAAAGAAATCGGAACATACTCATGTGTGAGACAATCCGAGGACCGATATCCAGAGTAGGCTTAAGCCAAGGAAAGTGATAGAGAAAGTGCAAAAGCTGGAGATGGCGATCAGAGGTTTCCGGAATATGGTAGGATGACAACATGCCCGAAGATTGAAGCTTAAGTGCGCTCTGCCCAATCCACAACAAATCCGCGACTTTATATCATGTGAAGCTACAATATTTTACAAGAGTGTACAATTGTTAGAGAATGAGTCTGGTAGAGAACAACGAAATATCTCCTGTCAGTCGCCTCTTGAGTCCCACTTCCCGTCACTCTCGGCAGTCAAAATTTCGAGGTCATAGACGGTGACGAAAACTAGAATCTAGAAGTTGCACATTTATTCCCCTAGAACTATATGGTACACAAGCATCGAGTTTAGCAGTCTTCAAAAGAAAAGTTCCGTGAAAGACAATTAAACGTGTGCTGTACGAGATATTTGTTGACGTAGGAATATAATAACCGCTGATGCGATTGTCGGCCGAGCTCCTGCTCCAATTTGTGTTATGGAAAATATCTTCCAAGAAATTGAGGGATTTAAAGATTATTATAAACCACCGGGGAACAGCTTAACATTTTTTGCCGAGAGATGATCGCAACTAAAAAAATCAATTATTTTTTTATTTTAAATTAATTATCAATAAGATTCGAACCCTGGTCTTCACTCAGCTACTGCGGCCGGTATTAACATAGTTCAGCAAATAAGGAGATCGCGGCTACGGGGGGAGAAGCAATGCAAGAGAAAGACATTAGTTCTGCCAGGGAGGAATAGATGGAGGACGACCTGATATCAAGGAACGATGTGGCGAAGCAGAAGAATGAGAACGTAAGTAGAATTCCAAATTTTGATGGACTTTTTGCAAATAATATTATATCTAACGAATCGGTAGCATAAGTGCTAAACTACTCAACTAGACCATATAGTCCTTCGATTTCTACGATTAGTAGTGTCAATATTTACTTGAACTTACTCTTTCGAGCTTTTTCAAACAAGTCCGAAAGGTATACATTTATAATACCGGTCCGCCCTCGATAAGTGAAAGCTGAAAGCTAAAGGTAAAAATATAATTTCTGATTGAACACGTCCTAGAACAAAACTCTAGCTTGCTCCATGTATTGAAGAAACATCAAGACGCGTCACAAAATCGGAGTGAGATCTCGGCAGAAAATCACATCAGCAAAAATTATTTAAGGCTTCCCCGAAATTAAAAAGATTGCCAAAAATATTATATATACGTTTCGAAATACTAAATACAAATATATATAAACATAAAACTATCAAATATTTTAGTGAAAATACTACTAAAATTGCAACAACTAGAATAAAAACAAAACCAATGAAATGCATATAATGAATGAGTAAGGAGCACACAGCGGTAGTCAATGCCAATGATGTGGCCATTAAAACGTCTATTAGATGTAATTAAAATGAGACCTCACCACTACGTGACCACACATTTATTGCCACACTACAAATCTGACAGCCCCAGCGTTGCATGCACATAGTTGTCTGAATGAATTCAAAGACTGAACAAAATGATTGCAGCGCGCAGCACAAATGGAAGTGAAAAACATGTGTATGTACAGGGTTTTCCAACAAAAGGAGTAATTTTGATAGGCAAAGAAAATTTGAATTTTTTGAGAGAATTGAAGTGAAGAAGAAAATATGTCATTAATAATGGAAACCAATACAGGACAGTATTGCTTTTATGAAATTTTCCATCTCCAAATCACAAAGTGGTTGCTATATGCACTCAAGAGCTTCACGAATTCTATGTTTGGGGTCTTGAACTGACAAAGTAGCAGGGTGCTAAATCACAAAATCACGATGGCCATTTGCGATCACCTCTTCGAGAGATAACATGGTAAAAAATCTATAGTTTCGTTGCTTGTGCGGTACGTAGTATCGTCTTGTTAAAAGTAAACGTCCAAATCGACGATAATTAAAGATCATTAATCATTTCTTGATAGCGAAATCCATTTACTGTCACTTTTGCTCCAGCCTCATTTTCGAAAAAATAACTTCCCCATCGGACCATAAGCCGCAACCAAATAGTTACACGTTGCGGATGGAGAGGCTTTTCAACCATAAATCTTGGGTATTCGAACCCCAGATGCAGCAGTTTTCCTTATAGACGTAGCCAATGAGGTGAAAATGTGCTGCATCAGTAAAGATGATTTTCGATGAAATTCCGGATCATTTTCCTGCATTTTTGTGTTAATTGAATTTTATAAACGTTAAGACCGAATTCTTTTTCGTTCCCTTTGGGGACGTCGAGGAATGGACAAACCTAGGTTTTCTTCAACACTTGGAGCTACAGCAGCAATATTCTCATTTTTTCTTGAGCGACGTGCACTTGTTTTATTCCTTACATCACTAACTTGCCTCAACAGCTTAGATTTTTCGACAAGGTGCCTCACGACGACCGAAAAATATTTTAGTTTTACGGACCGTCTCTGCCAGGTATTTACCATTTTTATAGTGAATTTCAATCTTTTCAATGTGGTGCTGAAGCGTGTTCTGTTCCAGTTTTTGACAGCTTTAACGCTGACATCCACCGGAATAGCAGGCTGTACAAAACGACAACTCTTATTGGAAACCCCTCTGTTTATATATGTACGTATCTAAGTGCGTATGTGCCCAATTGATAAGTAGCAAACAGGCTAATCTTAATGATGAATTAAATTGTCGCTTGGGCTATTTATAAACTAGCCACTTTTACCCACCAATTTATTGTATTGCATTTATGAAAGACATGTACATATGTACGTGTATAAATATGTATACTTTTGCAAATACATACATACATACATATTAACCTAAAGAGCAAGAAAGTAGGGTTAGTTGTTGGCTTCAAAAGCACACGTACGCCTACATACATATGTACATACATATATGCATTTGTATGTGTCTATGCATCGAAGTGCTCCGTTCGCTATCAGCCCCACTTAAGAAAAACAAAATGTACCCCTTTTCATTGTACGAGTTGTTGCAAATATACATGTGGATATACATATACACATACATATATACGTATTGTATCTACAAACTTGCACTTGTATGCAATTGTAGATAACGCTACAAAGTTTACAAACATATTTACTTGTTTATATCAACACCCCACAATCATAATTGATCGTATTTTATTGTTTTGCGCTTTACTTGTTGCTGTTATTGTTGTTGGTAATTACCACAGCAGTTCAAGCTGTCGTGCGTAGATATGTATGTACATACACTGTCTATGAAATTGCCCATACTTGACTCGGATCACTAAATCTAATTGTACGTTTGACTCGTCTAAATCTACATACAGTGGGTCATGTCCACAATGTGGGCAACTAAAATTGTGCTCTTAATGCAACAACAACATCATTCAAACCATCTAGAGGTAGTTCTCTCTAACTCGAACCAATTATTACATCATTCCACGATTACTTCAAAAGAACCGAACCGAGGATCACCCAAATTATTTAGCATCCGTTCAAAAAGCCAGTAGTCGTTTTAAGGAGCAAAGTCTGGAGAATACAGAGATCGCGGTTTCCAGGAAAATTTTGTCCGTTACAGCCACATGGCGCCGTGTATTGTCATTTTTCAAAATCCTCTTTCTATGTCTTTCGGACATTTCTCACAGTTTTTCAAGTATTTCAAAACAGAAATGCATTGGCTGTAGTCGATAAGAATTCATACTAATAACTTCGCTTGGTTGGTA